TGTGGATTGAAAGCCGTACATTTGGATTCTGAGTTGGCAACCAAGATCTTAGGGTAAAAATCCATCGAACATCTATCTATCTATCCTATCTTATCTTACCTGATCTTACCTTACCTTATCTGATCTTATTTTAATCTAATCTAATCTAATCCAATCTAATCTAATCTAATCTTATCTTATCATTTCTTATCTATCTCTCTATCTGTCTGTCTGTCTGTCTGTCTGTCTGCCTGCCTGCCTGCCTGCCTGTCTGTCTGTCTGTCTGTCTGTCTGTGTGTCTGTCTGTTTGTCTATCTGTCTATCTCTCTATCTGTCTATCTGTCTGTCTGTCTGTCTGTCTGTTTGTCTATCTGTCTATCTACCTATCTAGCTATCTATCTATCTATTTATCTATCTACCTATCTACCTATCTATCTCTCTATCTGTCTATCTGTCTATCTATCTATCTCTCTATACTTCTATCTATCTCTCTATGTATCTATCTATCTCTCCATGTATCGATCTATGTATCTATCGATGTATCTATCGATGTATCTATCTATCTATCGATCGATCTATCTACCTATCTATCTATCTATCTAACTAACTAACAAACTAACTAACTAATTTATCTATCTAATCAATCTATCTAATCAATCTATCTAATCTATCTATCTATCTATCAATCTATCAATCTATCAATCTATCTATTTATCTATCTATCTATCTATCTATCTATCTATCTATCTATCTATATTTAGATCATCTCCCATGAATGCCAATTAAGAATGTCATCGCATATCCATTATACCATTGGTTGATTATATACCATTGTATACCTTTATTTCAACTTCCGGCACAAGAAAAAACCCAATCATCCCTTCATTGCCATAGTTCTGGTTAAGCATTCAGGATTTTTTCTGGTTTCATGTTGAATACCCATGAATATCCTATTTTCACTGAGTGAAACATGGTGAAACCAGATCATTGACCCCTTATGACGATCATCCCCTGCAACCTCCGGCAACTTGTTCGGCTGCCATGGCCCAACCTGGCGGTCGGTGCTGGAAGGTGCCTGGGAGACCTGAGGGTGTCCATTTTTGAAGTTTCATGAAGTTCGGATTTTCCATAGAACATTTTCGAAGACTTCAGTTTTGAGGTCTCCCAATTTTGGTTGGTTAAATCACAATCTGGGCTTTCCTCTGGGATGATCTGGGCCGCTTTTTCCAGGCCATTTGGGTGGCTCTGATAGTTGCAGCCCTCCGAAACGAGGACCCGGGGGCACCGGGGGCACCTCACCAGGTTGTGGCGAAAATCGTCGGAAAATCCGCTGGGAACATCCCCTAAAAATGGAGGTTTTTTCGCGAAAATCATCGAAGTCAATGGAGACTTCTTCACCAGAGAAATGATGAGACCACAACGTATGATACCGGTGATTTTTTAAGATCAAAACAGGGAAACCAATGGAGGTAGAGCCAACAACAGTTGCAGATCAAGCAACAAATACTTCCACGAAGCCACTAGAAATGATGGGTAGAGATCTTAGCTACTCCCCAAACCGCCACATTTTGGGTGAATGATTATAACTTCTCGAGATACTTGGCTCCATCACCAGTTTTTTTTTTTGCAAGCTTTGAGATGACCCAAACATCATTGGGTGATCTATCCTCAACATCTTTGATTAGTATCTATGTTGATTTTGTTGCAGTAAGTGTGTATGGCGGCCTTGCTGAAAATCCTGGTTCGTCTATAGGTCGTCTCTGCAAATGATGCTTGGGATCAAGGGCAGCATGTCAAAAACTCAGCCGGCCAATATCAACTTAAAAAAAGTATCTCGATCTTTCCACTTAGATTAGATCCCCGGTAACCCCGTTTGGTAGCTCCGGTTTTCATATGTTATCATATGTGGCTTTGTCTGAAAATAGAGTACCCCTCAATCCATTGGCATTGCGTCATTTTCCCCCATCAAACTGGGCACAAGTTGGGGTCGAAATCCAGCATTTTCAGACAATCCCATTTCCAACGTCTCATTTAGTTCAGGGAAATCCATCGAAATCCCCGTTGCTGATGGCTTAATCATGTTTAGTCATCTTAATGTTTAGTCATCTTAAATCCCCAGAACTTGACTTCTTTGGAGCTAAATCCCCCATCTTCAGGTCTGCCAAAAGCACAGAGCGCCAGGCTTTCACCAACCGACCGTCCTTTGGTGGCGCAGCTTCCCAAACCGCCAGGTTTGAGCCTTTGGAACATGAACAAACAAAAGTTTCGAAGTGCAATCAAAATCTTGGAATTTCGAAGACTTTCCCAGCCGTTTGTTGATTTTCCAGGGGTTTCATTTCTTCTCTGTTCGAGTGGTGACCAACGGCTTCCGACGGCTTCGAGTGGTGCCCAGGGCAGCGCAAAAGACCTGGCGGGAAGTCCACCAGGAGCCGGGCGCGCCGAGCGCGCCGCGCCGCGGGAAGCCGTTGGTTTTTTTAGAATGGCAGTCGTCATTCGTAAACGAATGGGATATGAGTTATTAATAGTGATATAGATATGGTAACAATTAAAAATATGGTGAGAGAGAGAGATATATATATATATGTGGCAACCATTAATATTGACCATTAATAGTTATGGTGATATGAGTTATTACCCTCTGGTTATTTAACATCGCCATGGAAGCCATGGTAATTTTACTAGGTTTAATGAGCCTAACTTGACATAATGTGGTAGGCTATTATGGGATTTACTAGCATAGTATTTAGGCTCATGGTAATTCCATAGAAATAGATGGTTTACCTATCAATAGCATGGTGATTTTCCATGGCTATGTAACAAATAACCAGATGGTAATGGTTTTATAGATATGGTAACCACTAGTAATATTGACCAATAACCCATTACTAATCACTAAGAGCTAACTGGTTGGTGGTTTGGAACATGAATGGATTATGACTTTCCATTCAGTTGGGAATTGAATAATCATCCCAACTGACGAACTCCAATATTTTTCAGAGGGGTTGAAACCACCAACCAGAAAAACATCTAATAACTAACAGCTAACAGCTAATGGCAAGTCCGGATGCACCAGTTATATAATCCCATAATGTGGTAGGTTTAATGAGCCTAACTTTGAATCACTATATAGCTATACAATAACAATTACTTATACTACTATATAATAATATTGGTTTTAAACACCATAAACCAATACCATATATATATATATATATATCACCAGTTGACTATAGGGATTAAATGGTTCATCCGTTTTTTTTAAAATACAAACGAATATGCTACAAACTAATAATGGCAAGTCATTAGTAAACTAATGGGATATATATATATATATTAGTTATTAATAGTTATACATCATTCATGGTAGCCATTGGTAATATTGATCAATAACCCATTACAACTAATAAGTAATGGCAAGTCCGGATGAAGCATTTAATCCCTATAGTGGTCGGTTTAATAATCCTAACTTGACACCCTTTATATGTTCGTTTGAACCATTTATAGTTATAACTACTATAGAAAAAAACCCTAACTTGACATTGGTGTAATATCTATATCTATATCCATCTCTATATATATATATATAAGACTAATATAACTAGTATAAAACTCCATGATTTTTCACGACCTTCCTGGCTATGACTTCAGGAAGTCAAAGACTTAGAGACGCGTCTCAGGGAGGTGATCCTTGAGAGCAACCAACGCGTCACTCGCTGAAAGCAGACGAGGGCTGGGGCGGGCTACCCGGTCCCCGGTTGTTCGTTAAATGTGATGTGAATGGTGTATAAAATATATGTATCACTATAGTTGGTTTATAGTTAACCTATAGCTTATAGTAGTTGATATAATTACATAGGTTCAAGACAATGATATGTTGGTTTATAGTTAACCATAAACCCATGGTTCATGTATGAAATGTCATGTGAAAGTTTGTGTATAAAGCCATGCACACATTGTGAGCACTATGGATACTTATGGTGTGTTGGATTTCTAATACTAACTTAGCGATTTCGTGTGGATGTGGTCCCCAGGCCTTTTTCCATCCTCCCTGCAATTAATCAAATTATTTCTGGAGTTTTTTTTAAAGATAACTTGAGACCTATATACTCTGAAAAAGATAGGTATTAATAACACATTAATTTTTTTCCATCATTTCTAAAGGTTATTATTTTAAGGACCTGACTCTGGCTTGGATGGCAGAGCATGATGCCTGCGGGTTGTACCCTGTACTTTTTCGACTGCATGATATGGGATCATATGGGCATAGCTCAAAGAAAAGTGTTCCAACATGGGATTGAGAACCAGTTCAGTAAAGATTGAACCTGTGGTTCCACTAGTACTCCATATTTGAGCCATAGTAGTACACAAGTATCAGAATCAATTGCAACTGAGCGATGTCCCAGTAGGGATTTCTCATTGATTTGCTAATCACTCTAAGTTGGCTTGGGGCATTTGAGTTCAAACTTGTTAGGCACCCGGCATTGAGCTGGTGAATGACAGACATTCAACATGTGATTTGATTGCCTAGAAGCCACTAGGACATCAATGTGATGATCTTCATGTTTCTTCCATCATCTTCATGGCATCAAGGCAGATGCACCAGTTTCTTCATTCACATTTGGCCATTTGATGCATTTATTGATGATCTTCCAATTTCCATCAGTTTCCATGTGGTTATGGGCCCTAAGTCATAGCTGGTTATATAATGGATGGTTCTTCCCGAAAATATCGTACTAATAGGATGGTTAATGGATGGTCATTGCCCAAAATGGATGCTTCTTCCCCAAAATACAATATGTAGTGGTTAACCCCAAAATTGACCATTTTGGGGAATAACCATACGTATATTTAATGGATAATCTGGTTGGTGGTTTGGAACATTTTCTATTTTTCCATAATATATGGGATAATCCTTCTCAACCGACTAATATTTTTCAGAAGCCCGGGCTCAGGTACCTTCCAGCGGTTGGGCGGATCTAACCGAAACCTGAGGGTTGTACTAGTACGGTTTTCTTTTTGCCATGTCATCGGTTTTGCCTGGATTTGGAGGTCAGCTGGTACTGGGACAAAGGTATCCCTTAGTGTTTACAGTGGTCTGCAGAGGTTCCAAAGGAATGAAGCACATTGTTTACACCAGTGACCGACCCGGGTTTAAGCTGTGGATTGAAGGGGATCTCCCGAATGGCAGGGTTCTGACTGGTATTGGCTTTAGGGCGACCTGCATATCCCCTCCAACATTGGTTGTTGACCATGACACCTGGGTTCATGCATTGCCAGACTGCACTGTTGAGGCCACTGAACAGGTGATTGAAGTGTGTGCGGGCCTGGGGGGTTTCTCCAAGGAAGCTGCCAGAGCTGGACTTACGGTGCTCTGTGGTGTTGACATGAACAAAGCATGGGGTCCTCTGTTTGCGGCTTTTCATTCGGGGGCTCCTTTGGTTGTTGGTGACCTGGGTGAAGTCTCTGTTGCGCCCACTTTGGCGTCCAAAGGGGGGTTCTTTGCTACCATGTTGGCAGGAGTGGCTTGTCAACCACACTCCCAATTGGGGGATCGAAAGGGGATGGCTGACGACCGTTCAGCATCTTTGCCTCGTGCATTGAGCCTGGCATGGACTTTGCAATGCACCATAGTGGTGTTGGAATGTGTGCCAGAGATTCAAGGTGATGTTGAGGTGCAACAGTTGCTGCGTCAGTTTGCACTGACCACTGGTTACCGTATCTCTCAACAAGTGATCAGCCTTCAGAACGGTTGGTGTACCAGGCGTGCCAGATGGTTCTGTGTTCTTACTGCACCGCTGCTGGATCTGTGTGAACTTCAGGACTTTCCAGTCAATGATCAATTTCGCCGGGTGAGAGATGTTATGCCTGGCATCAGAAATTGGCCGGACACAGATCATGCTCAGATTGACTTGAACCTGTATGAGCTTTCAAAGTTCTATGCGTATGCTGCAGGTGGCATTGACAGCTTGTTTTTGTGTCCGGATGAAGCATGTCCCACTTTGTTGCACTCGGCAGGAAACCAGTTGTATGCATGTGCGTGTGGGTGCCGTGGTCCTTTGTCTGAACAACGTCTCAAAGCCAGGGGTTTGTTTGGTGTCCTGATCCCGCTTGAAACAACACAGGTACACATGAACCAAGTGATGCAGCACTGCCGGTACTTGCATCCCCAGGAAATGTGGGCACTGATGGGTGGAATTCCAGGGGAAGATGTTGGCCACAATCTGAGGTTGGCGATGGCAGGTATTGGCCAAGCTGTGTCTCCCATGATTGGTCTTTGGGTTCTCTGTCAAATCAAGCGTCACATGGATGTTTTCTATGGTAACTCACCAGTCTGTGCTCCTGAGCAGGTCCTGAAAGGGTACATGCATGAACTAGTGCAAACATGTCGAAGATGGTGGCCTGAACCCATTCCACCAACGGTGCCAGTCACTGCAGAGCCAGAAGATCCCATTGAAGAGGTGTTGCCCCCACTGAGTGTCCGCATCAGGTGGTTGACTGAGAATACAACACCAATTGAAATTGCGTGTGCAGCAGGTACCACCGGTCAGCAGTTGCTGGAGGCTGAACAGATTTTGACAGGCACTGCAGCAGAACTTGTACTTTGGTCGAGTGCTCAGCCTTTGGATTTGACTAGCCCCCTGGTGCATGATGCAGAAATTGGAATTGCCCCCAAGGGTTTTGCCGTTGGTCCGGTTTCTGAACCTACTGTCCCTTGTTGCTTGTCTCCGATGGATGTCTTGGCTCACTGTCATGAAGAACCAGGTAGGGATTGGACTGTCTATGCGGTGTCCTCGTTCACCCAGCTGGCCACCCGTAGAAATTCCCAGATGCCAAAAATTGAACGTGAGGCCATTTTAAGTCTCCAAGGGCCAGTTTGGGGTGATGATGAATTGTTGGCAGGACTGCATGACATTGCAAGCCAGACTGACCGGGACCAGTTTGTTCAGGTTTGGGATCCTTTGCTCATCACTGGGTTGACTGTGTCTTCCGATGGGCCTACGTGGAATCAGCTCTGTGCGGCCCTAGGGTCGGTTGCAACTGTCATTACGGCCACCATGATTGACAGCCATTGGTACCCACTTGTCTGGCGGATGGATCATGACGTTGTCATGTTGTTCACATGTGGGGTGGTTCCGGCTCATGTTGCTACCTTTGAGGGCTTGGCCACCAGCGTTGGCGACCGTCGGGGGGTTGCAGGGTTGTGGAACAATAAACTGGTGCCTTTTGTCCAAGGGGGTCACTGTGGAGCGCTGGTTTTGCTTTTCACCCGTCACCTGTTGTGGGGAGATGCTTTCCCTGGATCGATGTTGCAAGTGGAAGAACAAGCGTGTGACTTGCGGCGTGCCTTTGTGGCCGGGTTGGGTGAGAGTTGTCTGCGACCTCAGTTGGCAGCACTTGGACTTTCTGTTGTGGACCAGTTGGCCGCTGTCCTCAGTGAACATGGAGTGGATTCCAGTGAAGCCTTGTCCAGAGCCAAGGATGTCATCCATCACCTGGGTGAGGAAGCGGTAGGTGCAGCCATGCAGGTTACAAATGTGTGGAGGGAGCTCAAATGGCTTGCCAATCAACAGAGACCACCACTTGTCCTGATCAAGCCGTCAGAGTTGCAGCGTTCCATTGAAAGGCGGGGAGGTACCTATCAGGTTGGCAATAAAAGGCAGAAAAAGACCAAAGGGCAGGGAAAGGGCCGATCAATGCAACACCGATTGGACCCATCCTTGTTGCGCCTGGAGCATGGACTTTTCCAGGATTCACAGGGACAAGCATTGTCTCAAATTGCTTTGGCTGGTATTGGACCTCAGGTGTCAGGGGTTGTGTTGCTGAGCCAAGTCATGGCAGAGCCATACCTCAAAGCCAACAACTGTATGTCCGCTGGAGCTCTTGGATTGTTTGTGGTTGACAGCACTGTGCCGGTTACCACCACGTTGGAAGTCACTTCTGTCCGCCTTCCTTTGTTGTGCACAGCCAATGCGGAGCCATTGTTGGTTGATGGACTTCTCTACCAACTTGGAGCTCAGAGGGTCACCAGAGCACCCCCCAAGGGTGGGTGTGAGATTCAAGCGGTTGCCACGTGTGTTGTCAAAGCCATGGTTTATAGGGATCTGACCGATGATTCCTGGAGTCAAGTTTGCGCCCATCCAATGAAGCACATTTTCAGCAAGGTCAGCCCCTTGCAGCAATGCGAGGATGATGAATGCCCAGGTTGTGAAGCATGGCACCAAACCTTACAATGTCCTGTCCAGTCGCCGGTCTTGGAAGCATGGGGTAAGCAGTGGATGAAACTGAATTTTCAGTATTGTCCGTCTGACCAAGCTGAGATTTTTGGCGTTCACTTGAGGCTCCCAGAGGTGCTTCAGCAGCAGGTCCAAGCTTTCAGTGGCTTTGCAGGGGTCTTTTTGGAACCCAGATCGCTGGACGGTAAGAAACCTTCAGACCAATTTCAGGTCATTTGGATGCCAAAGTCTGATGTGACACAGCTGATGATGCTGCGCCAGTCGTTGTCTGCTGTCTGTGGTTTGGCTCGTATGGGCAACAAGTTGGGTCTGCGATGTCGAGTTGGCGATGCAGCACAGGTGTATGCCAAGGTGAAGCCAGGGCAAATCTACCTGCCGTCAGATAGCAAGTCATCTTATTTGGTGGGTCCTTTTCCTTTTGGCACACTGAAAGCTTCAGTTGCACATGCACTGGCAACTTGCGGATGGGTGGCCAGGCCTGTCCAGCCAGTGGGTACTCATGATCATGTCCAGGGTTTGATGTTTCGAGTTCATGCGGTTGATGTGCCACCGTCAAAGGTCCTTCAAATGCAGCATGGTGATGTGGTGGTCACCCAGGAGAGTGCACCACCGAGCAGCTTGCCAGTGGTGCCCAAGGTGCTTGCCTCAGCCGCAACAGTTGCCATGGTCACCAAGGAGAGTGAGGTTGATCAGTTGCAAATCAATGACCCGTGGGCAGCTTCCAAAGTGGCCAAGCCTGGTCCAGTGCCCGTGCAGATAGGCAATCCCATTGAGGACATGGAGCAACGAGTGGTTGCAGCAGTCCTTGCTCAGATGCCATCCAAAAACATGGAGGTTGACCCGGATTCTGATCAGCAGGATCGTGTGGTGAAGCTGGAACAACAAATGCAAGGGTTGCAACAGCACACACAGCAGCTTGGGCTCACCATGCAACAGCAACACACTGAGCACACGAAGCAGATCCAGGAAGTACACCACCAAATGCAGCAGCAGCACCAGCATTTTGATGCGGCCATCCAGGCCCAGGCAGGCCAAATCCAGGGTTTCCAAGACAGCTTTCAAGAGCAATTTAGGCAGCAGGTAGTGCACCAGCAGTCTATGCTGGACAGCATGTTCCAGAAGCAGATGACTCAGTTCGAAAGCCTGCTGTCGAAGCGTGCAAGGCAGGAATGAAGGGGCCCAGTCACTTTTTCGACTGCCAAAGGTGATTGGGTAACACACGCAGGCAGTCACAGTGCCGTGTTTTGGAGTTTGCTGGTGTTGGGTTTTTTGGGGATGAGCCTCGCTGGATTTGCTCCTAGGCTCTTGGCCTTTTGGATTGCCGGCCACTCTCTGTGGGGTCTTTGGACTATTGGGGGGGAGTGCCACACACAGCCAGGGTTTGGAGCAGCGAGCCAGGTAGGTGCTTACAATGGGGGGCAGCAGTCAGTGGGCTATTTTTGGCTCTGGCTCATGGCTTTCAGAGCTGAAAGAAGTTGGGGGGTGAAACTAGCGGGTGTCGCTCTCAGGTGCTTGGCCTTTTGGATTGCCGGCCACTCTCGGTGGAGCTTGTGGATTTTTGCGGGGGAGGATCATGCCCAGCTGGGATTTGCAGAGGGTAGCCATGCAGGTGCTAACAGCAGTGAGCAGAGGTCAGTGAGCTCAGACTTGCATTGGCTTCAGAAAGGTGATGACCAGAAGGGTACCGGGTCGTGGTTTTTGACATTTTGTCACATTTTTGCAATTTTGTGGTCCTTGGTCTTCTCGGCCTACTCGGGTTGTCAGGTCAGCTTGAGGAGTTGCTTGGATTGGCCAGGGGCAGGTGTCACCAAGAAAGCACTGCCAGGTCACAGGTGGTCAGCTATGCATTGCCGAGGGGGTTTCCGTTGGCTGTTGTGGATTCTTTTGTGGGGTGGATTAGGGCGTATTGGTGGAGCGGCCCATCCTGGCCCAAACATGGAGCAAACCACATGGACTTTTGGAATTGCCAACCCTTCAGGCTTAAACTCAAAGGTAGATCAGGTGGCCCATCAGGATGGTCAAGCATGGGTTTTTTCGGAAACACAGCTTTCCAAGCAAGGGTTCAGCATGTTCAAGAAGGGTATGGGTTGCTTGCAAACCAAATGGAAGTACCTGGTTCCAGGAGCACCCTGTCCCGTCAGAAAGCATGGACAGGCAGGTACACATTCTGGGGTCTTGCTTGTGTCTCAGTTCCCGTCAAGAGCACTTCCCAATGGTTTTGATCCTGATAGTTTTGCGACAGGTCGGTTTCAAGTTGCGGGTATGATGGTTGGTGGCTCGTGGATCACAATTGGTATGCTCTATGGGGTTCCCTGCAATGCCACTCATCAATTTGCCAGGTACCAGACAGAGACTTACCTGGCTGAACTGGTTGAAAGGGTGGGTTTCCAAGCCACGGGTCCCCGCATCATCTGCGGGGATTTTAACTATGCAACACATGAGCTCAGCCAATTGCAAAGGCTGCATGAGTGTGGCTTTAGGGAGGCACAGGACCTTTGGGCTTGGAGACATGGAGTGTCAGTCAGCTCCACAGGCAGGGGTGCAAAGCGCATAGATCAAATTTGGCTCTCGCCTGAACTACAAGGGGTCCTGAAAAGGGTCGAGGTTTGTTGGGATAAGTGGGCTGACCATGCCACGGTGGAAACAACCTTTTTGCAGCAAGGTATGGACCAAGTCAGTCAGGTCTGGGCGCAACCCATGCCTTTTCCATGGCCACAACAATGGACTTGCCACTTGGATTTTGATGGCAGGGATGACCCAACCATGGCCTATGCTAAAGTGTGGAGTCAACTGGAATCAGGTGCCAAGTGCATTCAGGCACAAAGAGGTTGTTTTGTTTCCCGTGCTCAATGTGGGAGAGCTCAGACCCTCGCACCCAGGCGTTCTACAGTGCAAGGGGCTCCCATCAAATCAGCCCGACAAGGTGAAATACAACCAAGCTTTTTTGGCATTGGCCTTCAGCATGCCCGGTTTTTCAAACAACTGAGGAGGTTGCAGGCTTTGACGCAACTACTGGCCAAGGGTTTAGACACATGGCATGCAAGAGCTAATGCGCAAGACACATGGCGGGCCATCCGCACTGCAGTAGGTTTTCCGGGGGGTTTTGTGGTTTGGTGGGAGCAGCATGGACTTGGACTTGGACTCGCTGCACCTGCTACCCCCGAGTTGCCTTACTTTTTGCCTTCCTATGAGTTTGTCTTGCGTATGTTTGAGGGTTTCCACAGTTTTGTCAAGCAATATGAAGCTCAACTTGCACAGAAACGTTACCACTATGGAAAGCAACGCAGAATGGCTGACATGAATGTGGTTTTTCAAGACTGCAAAGCTGAGCCGCCTCCAGTTGTCGATACCTTGATTGACAGGGTTGAAGTGGGGATTGAAGAAGTACGTCCTGAAGACTGCTCCTTGGTCTTGTGTCGTCCAACAGTTTTGTTGCCAGGGTTGCCAGTGGTGGTCCAAGGGCATGCAAGGGAGGTGATCGCTCATGAGCATGACCAGGTTTGGTTGGAGTCGGTGGATGGACTTGAAGCCGGGCAGGTCATGACTCAAGAGCATGTCGTCATGACAGATGAAGCTATCCTGCAGCGCTTCAAACAAGCATGGGAGCCACGTTGGAATAAGCATGCACACGTTGTTCCAGGGCAGTGGGATCAAATCTGTGGCTTCATGGAGAGAGTTCTTCCTTGCGTGCAATGGCCTCAGTTTTCCTGGACTCCTGAACTTTTTGCTGAGTTGGTGAACCAAAAACGGGTTAGAGCGGCAAAGGGGCCCGATGGAGTGTCACAGCCAGATCTAGCCAGTTTGCCCCAAGCTGGCCAGCAGGCCATGGTAGGCGTTTATGAAGCAGTGGAAGGAGGAGCGTTTTGGCCCTCTCAGGTTGCATGTGGGTTTGTAGCCAGTCTTGCCAAGTCAGCCAATGCGCAAACGGTAGATGAGTATAGGCCAGTTACAGTGTATAGCTTGCTCTATAGAGTTTGGTCATCGGCCCGAGCCAAAGAAGCTTTGCAGGTCCTGTCTGGTTTGGTTCCCCAAAGTGTCCAAGGTGGTCTTCCAGCTCGTCAAGCCAGATCTGTCTGGTACTCAACCGCCCAGTTTTTGGAATCAGCTCTGATTGATCGCTTGCCCCTCCACGGAATTTTGATGGACATTCGGAAGTGTTTCAATGCGATACCCAGATATCCTCTCTGGTGTGCACTTCGGGTCCTGGGTTTTCCCACGGGGGTCTTGCGTGCGTGGGTGGCTTTTGTGTCTGGTCAAACACGCCGATTCAAGGCACGGCGATCCACAGGGGAGCCAATCGCCTCAGTGTGCGGGCTGCCTGAAGGGTGTGCACTTTCGGTGTTTGGCATGGTTATCATAGATTGGGTTCTGGATTTGTGGTTGCAGGCTGCCCAGCCTGGCATTGGTCTGCATGCTTTCATAGATGATTGGGGGGTTCTCTTTCCGTTCCAAGAGCAGTTCCATGGGGTGTGGCAAGCCGTATTGGATTTTACAACGGCTCTGGATTTGGAATTGGACTTTCATAAGACAAAGGTATGGAGCACACAGACCACAGCAAGGCAAGCTTTTCGGCAACAGAGTCTCCAGGTCACTCTTGCGGCAAGGAACCTAGGTGCCCACCAGAATTTCTCCAGACACTCCTGGAATTCCAACTTGCGTGCCCGACTTGAAGCCATGCCATTGGTTTGGGTTAAGCTGCGGGCCAGTTTGTCTCCCTATCGGACCAAATTACATGCTGTCCGCATGCTAGCGTGGCCAAAAGCATTGCATGGAATTTCAGTCGTCCACTTGGGAGCCTCTCACTACAAACAACTGAGGACTGGGGTCATGCGAGCCATCCAGGCAGAACGGAAAGGGGCCAATCCAGTGTTGCATTTGGCAACCACCAAGTTGGAAACAGATCCAGAAGCATGGACGGTTTTGCAGACATTGCGTGATGCTCGGGAACTTGGGGGGTTTGAAAAGGTGGATGCCATGCTGGCGTTGTTTGCTGCCAAGGACTCAGACATGGACTTGCCTTCCAATGGGCCCACAGCTGTCCTCATGGCTCGGCTGAACAGACTTGGGTGGGCGGTAGCCACAAATGGTTTGGTGCAAGATCGGTATGGGGTCTTCAGTTTGACACAACTTGGATGGGATGAGTTGGCTCTGCGGGTTCGCTTGTCATGGGGGCATGTCTTAGGTTCTGAGGTTGCACACCGGGACTCCTTCCAAGGCATTGAGATGGCTGACTTGCAAGCAGTGCAATCCATGCTGGAACGTTTTGGCACAGCAGACCAGGTATACTTGCGATGTCACCTGGATGGGACCCTTTACACTCAGAATGGCAGGGCTCATTTTCAGGCTGATGCTGATGGTTTGTGCCCTTGGTGCGGTCATAAGGATGGATTTTACCATAGGGCTTGGAATTGTCCCTTCTTTGCTGACTGCCGCACTCACCTTGACCAGAGGCAATTGGCGCTCATCCCTCTCCTTCCTCGGTGTTTGTCATGTCATGGTTGGGCCGTCATCTTGCCTGAGTGGGAACTGTTTGCCAATTGGTTGGTGCGGGATCATGGTTTTTCATGCTTGTCCCCCCTAAGCCAAAGCCAGTCAGAACTCTCCCATAAGGTAGATCTTTTTGTTGATGGTACAGCAGCCAATCCACGGGAACCCCGCTTGCGTTATGCAGCATGGGCCATTACACTTGCAGAAACAGGAAGTCGTAACAGCCATGTTCTCATGGGGGGGCACGTGCAAGGACTGTGCCAAACACCGTTCAGGGCGGAATTGACAGCAGTTTTCTATGCATTGCGGTGGGCGAAAGAACGCGGAGTGTCAGTGCGCATTTGGACTGACTGCTTGGGAGTTTTGCGTGGTTTGAAAACGGTGATGAATGGGCGACCAGTCCGGATTAACCGTGCTCACTCTGACTTATGGCTGAAAATACAGGGGCTTTTTGAGGATTGGTCAGCGGACCAGGTGCAGCTGATCAAGGTGGTTTCACACTGTAGCCTCAATGAGGCGACCTCACCATTGGAAGACTGGGCTTTTTGGCATAATGCGTTGGTTGATCAAGCCGCTGCTCACATCAATGAAACTCGGGAAGCTGTTTTTTGGGAACTTTGGCGAGGACTAGCTGCGGCATTGACGCAGCATAGACAACTTCATCAGGCCATTTTGCTGGTTTTGCTGCAGTCGGGGAGGAAAGCTCATTTGGCGGAGCAGCAACAAGGCAAAGTTCCACAACCAGCACCCCGAGCAGGTCCTCAGTCACTGGCACCAATGCCGGTGGCACCATCTAGCTGGGAATTTCAAGACAACATGGTGCGTCGGTATGGCGAAGTCAATGCACGCATGATTCACAGCTGGTGGCACCAAGTTGGCACAGCATACCTGGAAGGGAGTGCACCCTTGGAAATGATCAGTGGACTGCAGTTGTTTTGGGATTTTTTCCAGACTACCCAATATTTTGGGCCTTGGGTCTACCGCAAACGTTGGTACGACCAAGAGCAAAATGTTCCAGAGTTGGGCCGTTTGCCGTGGGGGCACCGAATCAAAGCCTTTTTGTTGATGTGGAAGCATTACCTTGGTTGTCATCATGTCAAGATTCCCCAGAAATTGACCCGACCTAAGGCTGTTTCCATTTCTCATTGGGTTGTGTGTTACAGATTGAGAATGCCCCCCGAAAAACTGGCCGCTTGTGACGCAGCGGTTTTTGCTCAGCTGCATCGGCAAGCAGCATGTGCAGCTGACATACAGCTGATCACGCCGGCAACGACCGGGTAGTGCAGGCAAAGAGGTTGGGCGATTGGGTCGCTTTGCTGCCCAGTTGCTCGTCAATAAAGCGGAATAAAGCGTAATATTTTTCAGAGGGGTTGACACCACCAACCAGATAATGGATGGTTAATGGATGGATAATGGATGGTTAATGGATGGTTAACTTAAGATGGTTCATGGATAACTGAGGGATAACTGAGATAACTAATGGATGGTTGTTCCATGTTCTTCCCCACATGGTTCATAGCTTTTGCCCCATCCCCATGTGCTTTTCGGCAGCGAGGTGCGGGAGCTGAACAAGATGTTCACCGAGAAGCCACGGCCTTAGAAGCCACCCCCAAGTCAATTATCATACAAAATCTATACATATTATACACATTATACATACATTATATATATATATATTATACAAACATTATATATCTACATTATATATACATACATTATATATATATACATACATTATATATATATTATATACATTATATAGATATATACATTATATACATTATATACATTATGTATGTGTATTATATATATTTGTATATACATTAATTATAATGTATATATATACATTATATATACATTATATATTATATATACATTATATATACATTATATATTATATATATACATTATACTTATACATACATTATATATACATTATGCATACATTATATATACACATTATACATACATTATATATATACATTATATATTATATATATACATTAAATATTTTATATATACATTATATATATATATACACATTATACTTATACATACATTATATATACATTATGCATACATTATGTATACACATTATACATACATTATATATATACATTGTATATATACATTATATATATACACATTATATATATACATTATATATACACATTATATATTTACATTATATATATACATCATATATATGTACTATATATATATATGTATTAGATATATATATATACATTGTATATATGTACTATTTATTTGTATTATATATATATATTTATATACATTATATATACACATTATATATATGTATTATACATACATTATGTTTTTACATTATACATACATTATATATATATATTCATTATACATACATTATATACACATTATACATACGTTATATATATACATTATACATACATTATATTTTTATATATACATAATATATATAAAACACATTATGTATATATATATACATATACATTGTATATATAAAACACATTATATATAAACATTATATATATATAAAACACACTATATATATGTATATATACGTATGCATATGTATGATTATTAGCATTATGTTGTTTATGATTCCTTTATATATACATATACTGGCTGGTTATGGCACATGCCGATGACCCGCAGGCCATCTGACAACGACTCCAAGGCAAGAAAAAAAAGTTTCGGAACGCTCACCGGCCATGGCCTCCTAAAATGAATCGATCAAATACAAAAAACAGTGTTTTCTTGGTGGGTATTTAATAGTTTTAGATATTTTTAGGGATATTTTTAAAGGGGGGTATTTCAGATGATTAGGGATATGAAGGGATATTTAGAGATCAGATGTGCCACGCAGACTTTTTTCAGAGATACATTTCTCATGCCAACCTTTTTTTGGTCAACTGAAAAATGGAAGACATTGGTATTTCTACTTATATGCGATGCATCAATTACCCCTACACATCAACCGAAACATGGAAGACCCAAATTCATGCAAAAAAATAGCAGCCCCCAAAAAGATAGAAAAGTAATATCCTACCAAATAGTGATAAATCATTTTTTCTATCTTTTCTAAAATTGCTGTAAAAATATACTTCAAAGGATATTGTGAAATCAAATAGTAAAAACAACTTGAGATTACTTGACAGTGCTATACACTGTATACTACAATGACGTAAGGCACTAAACAGTCATAATCGGCTAAACAAATCCCATTTTCCAATACTATAGCTCTAAAAGTATATATATTTCAATGGAATTTGGAGTTTTTATAGTTATTATAGTTATGGTTTACTACAAATATCCAAAGTTATTGGAGTTGCAGCATAGCCAACTCGAACGGTGGGGCCCCTGCCATTGTTCCCGTTGACAGAGCCAGGACGGTCCGGGCAAAGTGTCCGGGGCGCCCAGCATCGCCCAGCATGGTGGAGATGTTCGTTATGTGAGTTATGGATACAAGGTGGTGCCCCAGTTCGTTAGCTAAGTTGGGGTTCACATAACTCCCATAAAACCTATGGTTTATGGCAGATATAACGAACTAGTCAATGGGATTTATAAACCAACTTCTATAACATTGGTGGATTTAAGCAATTTAAGCAATTTAAGCAATTTAAGCATCGCATAATCCAGTGATATGTTAGTTCGGATTTTTAATCGGCAGGATATACAATGGTATATATCTATATCTGTCTTAAAAAAATATATTATAATATATTATACATGATAATGGCGATTTCTTAAAGTGTAGGATCCCCAAGTCACCATGGTTGTTTCAATACTAAGACTAAGTCATGGTCATCCATGACTTGGATGATTTGGGGGTACCATTTTACGAAACATCCATATCTATCTTCATTAGTTTACTGAAGGGTCTTTGCTTGAGATTTTTATTTGTTTGATCCGTTTTTTTTTGTATTTCAGGTCGTATTTGATCTACCCAGGAATGAAAAATACCTGAAAAATAGCATGTGTTCTCTGTAATTAACTGGCAAGGTGGTAAGCCCACTCACAAACCATCGCCCAATTCCCCAGCTTTCCTATTAGAAGTAAAAAAAAACATACCAGGAGCACCCTTGGACTCGGAGTCTTTCAGGCGCTAAAGCCGGGTGGCGGGAACTGATTTTCTGCCGGCTCTTTGGGGAGATGAAAACTGACGGAAACAAATATGAACAGCAGATATTACCAAAAGAAAAACAATGATATATATATATAATATGTATACATACAATTATATATACAATTATATATATAATTATATATACAATTATATATATACACATAAACAGCTATATATATATACACATAAACAGCTATATATATATACATATTATAATGATCAGAATAATAGTAAATAGACATACTATAGCTTTCTATGGTGATGATTCCTATCATTCTGCTTTATTATCATCATTCTAATATACTAGGTATGCTGTAGTATACTATTCTTATCATTCATTTCCCTCTGCTTTTCTCAGGATTTTTCACGTTTTTTTTTTGGGCCTCACTGCTGGCCGTCGCCGTACAGCGTCCTCGCCAGGCGCGCGCTGAGCGTCTCTTTCCAGACGTAGAGGTGACCGGAGAGCGGATGAAAAGCTGTGGAAAAACGGAATTCCCAGCAGGATTATCAGGATTATCTATTCATAATATTTAATAATATATATTTCATATCTGGTGTATGAGAAAACAAAATCATTATGAATGCCTATCTGGTGTAATAGGCATCGTTGTTGACAATTATACAAGATAATGATCATAAATCATTATCTCATATATTCTCAGTAGGATTCTATGTAATATCTGGTGTATGTGTATAATATTACTATTATATATGTATAATAATTAGGATACATTACATATCAGATGGTGAGATATCTTAAGATAGGAGTTATCTCAAGATGATTTACATGAGTAGGAATCATTTGACGTAAGACAATTATCTTGCAATTTACTCATGGAGTACTAACATGATCTAAATCGTTGCCCGCAATACTGACTAAGTTGACTCTGTAAGAATTGTATAGTTTGGAACCTGGTATTGACTGAGTTGGAAAGATTTCGTTGAAATAGTTTTGAGCCGGTGAATTGACAAAGTTTAAGCAAGCATGTCAACATGTTCATCCAAGAAAAACCTGGGTCCATGACTTTTGTGTAACGGATCCCCGAGCTTGGTAGAGATTGGAGGGATATCCATCGCTCAAAACGAAAAATGCCTCGCAAACTAGGGATTTTCGTTGTTTTTAGTAAACCATACATAACCGACATGGGTATGGATCAATACCTCTTAATACCATTTTTAGGTGAATGAACATCCATTTACCAGCTATTTTGATGTTCACCAGGGGTACAAGGTTTTGACACATTGCCACATAACCATTGGATCATTCCATTTTTGGAGACCCTCTAATTTGTTCGAAAACCCCGCGCCAGGCGAATCCGCCTGTGTTAGCAGGAGAAATGGCCACCTCAGGCTGGATCTGGATGTTGAAGAGCTAAGAAAACCTTGGAGAATCATCTTGTCGGCAAAACAGCGGCGTTTTACATCGTTCATTTCGTTGGATCATGTTGGATCCCATGGATAGTGTCTGACTTTTAGGGTCATATAGGTATGGCCCAAAGGTTTATTTTACCCCCAGACATGGGTGTTCTACAGAGGGGCTGGTCCATTTGTCGCGCCAAATCTTTGTTTGGTTAGTTGATATTCCGTGAATTTGCTGATCCATGAATCCATGATTTGGGGAATCTCCTCGGAAGATTGGTTTCATTCTCAAAATGGCCCCATACGGGTCGCTCGCAAATCCATGTTTCTGTTGGTTCAACATCGTGACAAACCAGTATCTTGGGAACAGATGCACTTATCATATCCTATCATACCTTATCATCCTTATTTCAGCTGGTTCATATCCGCATGATCTCCCCATTTTTGGGCTTCGTCCAACCACCATTTTTTTGGAAGATTTGGAATCGATGTCAGCTCCCATCGTGGGGAAGTACTCGTCCAGCCCGAGCTGCCGTGTGCCGGCGGGAAGCCAAGCCATGTCGTCGTCCTCATCATCTGGATAAAGTGATAGTAACCCATATCAAGCTCTCATTAATCCATATAAATCGATGAATTTGATGATTTATAATGACAACAAAGATTAACAAAGCAATGAGATGGGTTATTGATAAATTATAATCTTAGTATACAGCAATACTGTACCATAAGCCGTATGAATTGATCCGTTTTTTTACCCAGCTATTTATGGTCACCCACTGGAATGATGCGACAGAAAAGGCCAAACATTTCAGTTATTTAAGGGGCTGAGTGAAGTAGTAAAAAACTAGGCCAGATCATATGCAATGATAAATGGTAATAGTAAGAATATAAACAGGATAATAATAATAATAATACTAATAATAATAATGATAACAATAATAATATAATATATATAATGCGTGATCAAGTTGTGTGAATCATTTTTGACTCCAGCCGAGCGATAGTGGCTTACTTTGAGGCCATATGACAGTACTTGGAATGATGATCATAGTAATGATCATCAAGATGACCCAAAGCAACATATTGCAGCCATGGCTCAAACATGTTCACACCCAAACATGGATGGTTAGATACCAAGAAAAGCCGAAATGATGACATTGTGGGCCATTTTGCACCCCATGTTTGAGGCACAACCAGAGCTATTGTTGATGATCACCAGAGCCATATTATGATCATCAAAAAACATGGCTTGTCAGTCCCACTTCCTACACTTGTTTGTCACCCAAATCATCACTCCAGTGGGTCACTTTCGAATCTCACTGGAGTTGTTGCTAGATATCGCGTGGCAAGGGATATCTGCCGTCATTATGGGTCGACATTTTTCTCCCTCATCCTCGCCTGGTTCATTCAGATTTTTCGTAGTTGCCGTGGGTTAAAAGCAACGTCTAAACCCAAAGAATTCATATTTGATATGATCAAGACCAAGAAATGAACCGTGAGTTTTGTTTCCATTTATGGACTGCAACTGAACTAACCTGTTGAGTGGGTCGGTCCTGGACCACCCCCAACACTGAGGCCCGGATTTTCCCAGAGCAGATGCAGGGAGTGGATGATCCATCTGCTTCAACAGAGGATCATGGGGACACCAATCCTGGGAACCGGGGTTCGCTTACGGAACTTTGATGTTCGTCCAAGTTTGAATAAGCACGTGATCCCTAAAAATTGCCCAGTCAGGCCTTTGACATCTTTCAGGCCACATCCATGCACTGAAGTTTGAGGGCAACCAGAGAATGTCCTGGGGCTGGAAACAACATCCAAGGCATGACATGCGAGGCATGTCCATTGTCAAAGTTTTGGACAATTTGAAGGCACTGAGCCTTCTGAGAAGTAATTTTTTCAGTATTTTTAACAGTTCTGTTCTATTGAATCCATCGCCGGTGATCCCACCCGGTGCCGGAAGTTCAACTCGGAATCTCTTGAGATATTCTCCCAATGTTTGGTGTGTTTCCTAAACGAATGACCAGAGGGGTTTGGTACAACTGACCATTTAGGGGAAAACCACCACATTTACACTGGATGGCCATGAAATCACCATTTTCCATCAATTCCCAGCATTTTCCCGAGATTTTCCCAGCAGGCCGTCAGCAGGCCGTTTGGGGATAGACACCATTTTCAGACACCCAGCAGGAAAACGAACTCTGGCGCACCTCTGTGAAGCTCTTGATTGAGACGCGCGGAAGCCTTGGTTTGGCTCTGCTGAAGATCATCATGTCATGGGCAGTTTTCTGGGGAGATCACCCAACAAATTGCTGCTTTGTCATGGGATTTTTCACCATTTTTTTTAAAAAACATCCAGTGATAATAGTTTCGGGGTTTCCTAAACTTTTTTTTTTAATCCAGTGATAATAGTTTCGGGGTTTCCTAAACTGGAGGATCCCCAGTCGTCACCATGGCTGTGAAACAATACGAGTCGCCATGGTCTCACGACGCCTCGATGATAACTTTTTGGGACCCCCATTTTAGGATAACCGGAGAACCGTTGCTGTTATCAGATGGTGATGGTTATCGGAATGGATGGGATATTTTTGGTGGGCGGGATATATCACGGGATATATATTATGTATATATATATATATATCATGTATTATATATATCATATATTATATATAATATACTATATATATCATATATTATATATATCAGTTATTTTATATATTATATATATATCATATATTATATATATCATATATTATATATATCATATATTATATATATATATATCATACATTATATATATCATATATTATATATATGATATATTATATATATCATATATTATATATATATCAGTTATTATATATATATTATATATATATCATATATTATATATCATATATTATATATATCATATATTATATATATATCATATATTATATATATCATATATTATATATATGATATATTATATATATCATATATTATATATATCATATATTATATATATCATATATTATATATATCATATATTGTATATATATCATATATTATATATCATATATTATATATATATCATATATTATATATATCATATATTATATATATACATATTACAGCTATAATGGATAGTGAACAAGTAGTGATATAATGGTGATACAATGGGGCATCATGGCAATATGTGGCGATAGAAATGATATGTTACCATGCCTGCGTTGATGATATATGTTGAAGTCAAATCAGGGTGGGAAGTTATTGATAACACACAATGTGCGAATTAATGAAAATTCATGTTTTTTTCCACAGATTCCACATCAACAAACAAGATGCCGCAGAGGTATCATGAGGTATCCTTATGATTTTCAAGGGGGGAATCAACCCACATTCACATTGGAATTTCAGCGAAAAAGGCACCGATTCCACCCGAATGATCCCACACAGAGGGGTGCTTCATCCCCTACTAAATCCGGTTGAAGTGTGAGCTCCGCCAGCCAAAATATCCCTGAGAGCTGGGAGTTTATTTCCACTGGAGACTGGAGATGGATTTTAATGGGTATCTTTGGGTGTTGATTTACAGAAATCAAGGAGTTTTTATTGAAAAAAGTGGCATGCGATCCCTTTGACGCCCTAATTTTGGACCATTTCCAATTGGCATCGCATCATGATGCTCTGACTTTTAATACTGGTGCACATTTGACCAACATTGACCAACAATGCTTGGTTACGGAACCTAGTGCTGTCTAGCAGGTGTCAAAAAGACTGGTTGTTTAAATGTCATTCAGCACCAATCAATGGAATAAGGAGTATCATATCAACAAAGCTAGGATTATTATTGGTTATATAAGTGATGAGTTGGAGGGTTTTAAAACACATACATTGTTTTGGCATGAGTTTCACCCATGATATTTTAAAAAGACCTGCAACCAATCCTGGCATATTGGTTTTAATGGGAGGTTATATCCGAATTTATGTAGGGATTCTCATAAACCATGATGGACATCCCTATGAATCAGCTAATGAGCATATACAGCAATGTATTTTAACCGTTAAACAGTGTAGTTGTGTCAACTTGCTAAAAAAAAAGTGCGGGTTTTTTGAGCTCGTGCAGGGACCATCACAAATCCATGATGGGAATACGTCGACACCAGTTGTGTATGTTTGTATATGTCTATACAAATATATATCGTCACCCCCAAGAAGACTTAATTTCCAATCATTTCCAGGTGTTTTATACCTTTTATTTCCTGCGTATTTCCGGGGTTTTCGTAACAGTGCTTTCTTTTTTATGGCTGTGATGCCCAGGGGTTTCAGTTTGACCCATAGTACCCTCCAAACATCTCCAAAGTATCAGGCTATTCCAGCGAGATTCGTTTGGATGTTTGGTGATGTTTGGGTTACTTTGGAGTTACTGCTACATTGTAGTAAGCATCTCGGATTTACCCTCTGGTAAACAAACAGTTTGCTATTGAAAATGGCCATCGAAATAGTTGATTTATGTTGATTTACCCATTAAAAATGGTGATTTTCCATATTTTTTGTATGTTTACCTGAGGGTGAATCCTAGTAAATCCCATTAAATCCCATTAATCCACCATAAAATCCCATTAAATCCCAATGTTAAATCCCATTTTTTAAGGTACAGCGCTAGTTCACAAAGAACGATCATCCGACGACACGGGACACTGCCAGGTTGGATCCTCTATGGCCTGAAGCTGAGGTCGCGACCAGCAGCAATAATATAATGTATTCATATATATACTATATACATATATAAAGTATATATATATAAATTATTACATATATATATAATGTATAATATATATATAGATATCATGTGTATATATATAATGTATATAATAACATGATATACCCTCTGGTTATTTAACATAGCGAACTGGAAAATCCATTATACATGGAGGTTTAGTTCGCTGGGAAAATCATCTGGAAATGGGCCATGGCTTCCAGTTCGCTATGTTAAACAACCAGAGGGTAACATGAGGGTCGGAATTTCCAGCATTAAACAAAGGGACCCAAGGCAGGTGATCTGACCGGGCCTCAGTGTTTTTTCGAACATCACAGGTAACGGATGTGTTGTTTGTGCCATTCTTTATTTGTTTGGCATCAATAATCACATATTCTCAAATTGATAGTAACCCGTCAGAAAATAGATAACTAAATTATCACTTGCAGTATATCATATCACTGTTCTGTCTTTTTTGGGAGTTGCAACTTACCCCAGGTAGAAAATCATCACTCCCCCAAATGCCACCTTACCCTTGAACGGTGCAGGATCGCGTGCGTGCGGTGATGATGGCAGAATTTGATGCAGAGCAGAGGCAGAGAATGATGACTTATCTCGACTTGGTCATGGGTCATTAAATGTCCCCATTGAACATCACCCAACCATTAGGTATATGGTCTATAATGGCTACTATAAGGTGATGTCCAATATACCCAAAATGGGACAGTTACCAACCCCTGTTGGTGAACCGTTATTAAGTTATAATTCAGCCAGAAATCGGTGTATCACAGATTGATTCTGAAAATTGCCTTTTGGTGCCACAAAGCAAAGATCTATGGCCAAAGTCGCGGGTGGTCTCACATTTTGAGATGGATAGAGGTCCCACATGCGCAGGTTTCTCAAAATGATGAGTGTTCCAAATCTCAAACACACTTAAGTCAATTTTGCAGTAATGGATTGAAAAACCTGTTTGGCAGTTCGCACAATTGAGAAACAATTCTGCGAAGAAGATATTCACTTCCAATTTCACTTTCTCATTACTAAAGCATGGTTTCCTTTCGGGGTGTTTAATATAAGGGGATGTCATAGCAACACTAATGACAATAGTAGCAACAATCATGTAGTGTTTGGTGACAACAGTAACAATCATTATTGCTACAATTATTAATGCAATAGTAGTAACAATATAGTAATTATTATTGTAACAATAACGACAACGGTAGCAGGAATAACACCAATACCAATAATTATAACAGTATATAGCAAACAATAACGATAACACCAGTAATTGCCAATCACTCTACTAACAATGAACAATGATCATAGTAGTAATATGTAAGAATCATAATGAATGATAAACATACTGATGGAAGGAAGCTTAGAAGTCAAACTTCCGACAATATGGACAGATGGAAAAGCAGAGGTGGGAAGAGTCAGAGAGGAGAAGAGAAGAAGAGACAAGATCAGAGAAGAGAGAGTGGGAAGAAAGAAGATGCAGGTGCGCGAAAAGGTAGAAAAGTTGCGAATCACTGTGTTTTTCCAATGATTTGTGGCTCCAGAGGGTCGAAAAGCAGGCTCGCTAAAGCGGCGGGTGCGGAGCCATCTAGCCAGATGAGAGATGAAAAGTTGCACGCCGTTGTGGCGAGAAGCACAGTTCGAAGTCAAAATGTACGAAGCAGCTCACGTTCCGAGCACTTTTGGAAGTTGCGATGTCGAAAAAAGTGCGCGCCGTTGTGGCGCGAAGCACATTTCGAAGTCAAATTGCACAAAGCACACCATGATCGGAGCACTTTTGGAAGTTGAAATGTCGAAAAAGTGCACGCCGTTGTGGTGCGAAGCACATTTGCAAGTGAAAAAGCTGAAAACACCGCATCTTCGGACCACTTTTGGAAGTTGAGATGTCGAAAAAGTGCACGCCGTTGTGGCGCGAAGCACATTTCCAATACAAAACACACCATTCTCGGACCACTTTTGGAAGTTGAAATGTCGAAAAAGTGCACGCCGTTGTGGCGCGAAGCACATTTGCAAGTGAAAAAGCTGAAAACACCGCATCTTCGGACCACTTTTGGAAGTTGAGATGTCGAAAAAGTGCACGCCGTTGTGGCGCAAAGCACATTTCCAAGTCAAAAGTGCAAAAAACTGACGGGTACGGAGCACTTTTGGACGAGGGAGTGCGCACCTTGTCAAAAGTGAGCAAAGCGTGACGGTTTTGTAGCATTTCCAAAAGCGATGGCAGGCGTGGGACATTTGAAGAGGATCCGTAAAGATGCATTTCGCGTGGCAGGCGCAATACAAGAGACATGTTCATCAGAGATGTTAGGAGGTCAGGGCAGAGATTCCCTGAGAAGGTTGCATATTTTGGAGCATCAGATCTGTAGGTTTGCTAAGATGATTTTGCGTGACAGGTGCAGCACTTCGTATGACCTGGCTTCACTGGTTCGTGGCAAGCGCAGTACTTAAGACAGATGGAGTGGAGAAATTGCAAAACGCATTCGTACGAGGCCGTCAGCTCTGCACTCAACTTTCCATTTTCGAAGGAAGTCTCGCAGAATTGCTTTGTTTTTGATGTTGTCAACTTCGAAAATTGAGGAAGTCTCGCAGAATTGTTTCGTTTTTGACATTGTCAAGTGAAAAGATTGAGGAAGTCTCGCAGAATTGCTACGTTTTTTGATGTTGTCAAGTTTCAAAAGCTGAGGGAGTCTCGCAGAATAGCTTCGTTTTCAAGCTTGGAGATAGACAGATAGATAGACAACTACAATCTATAACTACAACTACCACTACCACTACACTAAACTACGACTACAACGACAACTACACATGCAAATATACTACGCTACATTGCACTATGCTAATTACACTGCACTACACTACACTACACTACACTACACTACACTAATGACATCTAATTACAGGAAATTACATCTAATTAAATCTAATTACACTACACTACGCCACACTACGCTACACTACGCTACACTACGCTACACTACGCTACACTACGCTACACTACGCTACACTACGCTACACTACGCTACACTAAGCTACACTAACTAACCTACATCACACTACAGCTACAACTACAACTGCAACTACAACTACACTACTTTACACTACACCAGATTACACTACACTATACCACACTACAGTGCACAACACTACAGTAGAGTTTACTACACTACACTAATTACACCACACTACAACCACAATTGCAACAGCAGCTGCAACTACACTACACTAATCACACCACGGTACAACTACAACTCCGCTACGCTACACTACAACTACAGCTACAACTGCGCTACGCCACACTACATCCAGCAGTTGTGAGGTGACCACTGCAACCATTGCAGCCACTCCAAAACACAACTCCAACCACCTTTCGGTCCATCAGTGGATTCGCTGTGCCATCCGTGATTCCCAACAACCAACCTCTCCTATAGGTTTCCTATTTTTGAAACTTCCGCCAGCACCTTGTGCGGCACTACTGGCATTAAGTATCAACAATCAAAACATCACTGATTTACATCAAGGCTAGTTAATGACTGATAATAAGCTTTGTGAGAAGATTCACAATAATAATAGTGTGTATATATACACCGGTCTAGGAGTATGTACGGGCCTAGAAGTATACATACATGAGTCCAGGAGGTCTAATTATCAGTATGGAACAGTCTTAAAATTTGGCGCATCCAATTTCTTCGTAACCAGATTTGATGTACACATATATTTTGATGTACAAAATCAATTTGTTTTTAACCAATTTGTTAATAAAACAATAGAAAACACCCACATTTGATGATCAAGTGATCTACACCCAGCATATTCATCATAGCCATTGGGCCATGGCAGCATCTCCATCTCAGACCCACCTTAGACACCAGGCGCGATGATCGCGTGGGCAACGTGCGGAAACGAGTGTTGAAACAGATGGTCTTAGCCAATGAAGGCATGAGGACGGAGGTTCGCCGCCTGGAAGTGGGTTGACGATGTTGATGGCAACTCCCAACACAAAGCCTGCAAGGGGGAACTTTTACCCAAGACCGCGCGGTGCAGAAGTCTTGTGAAGTACTGTATATATATATATTAATATATATATATGTATGTATGTATGTATGATTATGTATGAATATAGATCTAGGAGGTGCATTGCGAAAAAATGGTGAATCGCAGTTGCCGGGAACTAGGTCTATCCTCCGAGTTGCCCAACTGGTAGCCATCTATCGCACGCGGCGGGCGCCACAACCGCGTCAAGCGGCGCCATGTCTGTCGCCAGCAGTAGCGTTTCCAAGGCATCTTTTGTGCTCAGCAATCATGCCAAACTGGATGACTTGGCCTCAGACCCACAGCTGGTGGCAGAAACACGAAGGAGTCGCTTGGATCACTTGGCGTGTTTTGTTCAACACAATCAAGTAATTGGCTAAGTAGTCTTGATGGTTGTGGGGGACTACACAGAACAACATAAATCAGCAAACCATTAGGCACCTTGACATTTGGGATGTAACCTTGATTGGAAAAAATGTATAGAAAAGTAGATTCTCACCAATTTAGTTGGATGTTACTTTCCTATTTCTTATTGGAGTTGCTTGAATTCAACCATGCACTTGGTATTTGATTCATTCTGGTAAAATCGATATTATAATCAATCCCTAAACTAGTGAAAGGCATTTATGGTCTCCATCAGGTCACATTTTCATACATTTTCTCAGTATGTACCAGGTATTTTTTCCGTGTATATGCTCCATTTTCGGGACCTACAAATCTCCGAAAGTTGCCCGAAAAATTTCCCGTGCCAGGTGGACATAAAATCACTTCCGCTTCGAGTCTGGGTGGCTACGGCAATGCTGGAGGCTGGGGCATCGTGCGCTGCATCGATGATGACTTGGACGAGTTGTTGAGGCGTCATGGCATCACCGAGCATCGCGCAGCGGACTTGCTCGAGGAGGGAACTGGAGAAAAATGGTGGCCAAAATTGAAGCCACAAAGATCAAAGTTGACGAAGTTGGTTAACTAGGGTTATAATATGTTATAAGTTATAAGTGCAGTTGATGGGTTTATAAACCAACTTATATCTGAGAGGCCTCACCCTGAAGGGATACAAGCACTACACTTTGGGATTTGACATGATGATTAAACCACTTGAACATGGATTGTAACCACACTTGCGGCCCCAAATTTCGAAGCTGGGAAATCGAGTCTTGTAAAGATGATTTCACTGCCTGGCGTGACCCAACTACTGGTTCCATGGTGGGGGTGTGCCCACATGAGGTCGAGCCATCTGGATGCAATGGAAACGCCCATTTGTGGGAAAATCCCTAAACTATACTTCGATGATTTTCCCATCGAACTCAACCTCCGTTTGACTACCGGAGGATATATTCCATTACCCTCTGGTAAACGTTTACATAACGAACTGGAAAATCACCATGCTATTCATGGGAAAATTCACTATAAATGGTGATTTTCCATAGTTATGTAACAGTCATTACCTGGAAAATTGCCATAGAAATAGTTGATTTACCCATTAAACATGGTGATTTTCCAGTTCGTTATGTAAACGTTTACCAGAGGGTAATCTCCAGTAACCACCCAAAAGGTTAACCATGAAATCCACCATTCGTCACCAAGGTCCACGGGACCCGCCCCCATCTGCCGCAAAATTCAACCATTGTGAGGTGTTTCAACATGATGATTGGTTAATGATGGTTAATGATGGTGTTCATATATGTTAATGATGGTGTTCATATTTAGTAACCGTACAACCATATCTATTTTCATATAATAACATGATAACCTAGTCGCCGTTCTATATCTGACTAATCGTCGTTGGATTTCCATCACCTTCAATGCGGCCCAGGATGGAGTACCCCTTTGGCATCTGGTTGTGGAAGAGATGACCAGCGGCGATGCCAAGAAAGGTGGCTTAGCGGCGCCACCTATGGGCACTTGTGAAACATCTTCCGTGCCAACAAAATCCTGTGGCGTAATCTTTACATATCTTTACATATCTTTACATATCTTTACATATCTTTACATATCTTTACATATCTTTACATATCTTTACATATCTTTACATATCTTTACATATCTTTACCTGGGGTGATACTGGGGGATAGATGTTTGTTTGATGCTAAGTGAGTTTGCCATCACTCAAGGGACACCCTGCCATTGGATACGATCGGTGAATATTCATGAATATACCGATCATATACCCAGCCTTAGGCTATCAATAAGCCTACAAGTATAATAACAAAAATAGTATTGAATATACTGTATATATATATATGTATAAACTGCATGCATATGTTTGAATATTATATAATAGAGAAGTGGCATATGACCTCTTGTGGAAATTAAACAACGCCTGAACGCATATGACCTCTTGTGGAAATTAAACAACGCCTGAACTGTTTGCATTGCCTGGCTTTGACGTGTGACGAGACTGGTCCAGACTTTCGCAAGGTCTCACCACACGGATTTTGCTCGGAGGCTTTGTGGAGTTATTGGAGGACTTTTGGGCTTCTTGGCAGTCAAATGAGCGGTGTTCAATGACACTTGTTGGTTGCTGATTATATGAGTAACTGACAAAATTATTGTAATACTAACTTAGTTTTGCTTCGCCTTGGCCTTTCCGAGGTTGCACAAAACCTTCATAACCGATAGGGGACGACCCTATACCGATACCCCATTTGTGATACCTCCGGGAATACTGAAATCCTCACAACTGATGGGGGACGACCCTAATTTGTGCATGGCATTAAATTGAACGTATATTTTTGTCCGCTACTCATATGGCTTGATACTCACCAAACAAAATTGGGGATATTGCAGGATGGTGCCCCCCAGTTATAAGTTGGTTTATAAATCCCATTGACTATAGTTATATCTGCCATAAACCATAGTTATGGGAGTTATAAACCAACTTAGCTAACTATGGGGCACCACCTTGTGGGGAATATCACAATATATCACAATCCATTAGGGAAATTCCGTTCGCAATCAACCAGTGCAGCAAGGGACAACACAGGGTTTTGAAAACTGCTCAAAGTGTTGCTAGAGTAATTACATTATATATTCTCTTGACCCACAACTATGACCCTCTGGATTCCACGTTCCAAAATTGACCAACATCTTTGAATTTGTATATGATCTTATTTTATTCAACGAGCCCATCGACGACTGGCTTCATAGAAAGGGCAAGCCCTTGAACAGAACCTGGGTCTGAGGATTTGATTGTGGAACCCATGCAAGATGAAGACTTCACGGTGGAGGATTTAGACATTGCGGTAAACCAGTTGGAACCTTTGCTCAAGCTCGTCTATGATAGTGCAAAGGCGGATAGTAAGTGGAAAGGACAAATGGCCTACCATCAACTTGCGCCCCATAAGCGCTTGAGAAAAACCCTGCTGACCACTGCATGTGACTCTCCAGATGATCGGCACACTTTGGTGGAGGGGTTACTGCGCTACACACAGGAGCCGGACATGGGATACATGGGTTTGTCCGAAGGGCCTAAGGGCTCCCAATTTTTCCCGATTAAATTGCCATAGAATGGAGTATCCATCGTTGGGATGCCATAACATGGGGTATCACAAACCCAAATAGCTGAATGACATGAATGAGTGGAGTTGGGAATGGCACTCATCTCTGGGCTTTCTGTAAACGGCATGGGATCTCATGGTTGACAAGGCAACACAGTGAAAGTTCAGTTTGTTGTACTTTGCGAATAAATCAAATTTACTTGTTTCCGGCACGTAAAGCTCATGAATTCCATCGAAACTCGCTGTTTGTCTACTTTGTTTGTCCTCAAACTTTCAAATCACCGCTCGCTTTGGAGACATGGCTGAAACGGATGCAGGAGACTTGACCAACATTGATCAACTCTGATCAAACCTGATTATACAAGTTACTAAATGCAGCATGCAGATGATGAATTGTGATATGAATGGGACAACTGGGCAATTTTGTACTTGAGTCGGTCCAAAGTGCCAGCTGAACCCATCCACCACTCCATTGGGTTTGTTTGAACATAGTGTCAACCATTGTCAACCGTGTCTCCTGAATTTGATTTTTTTGTAATTTTTCCAATGTTAAAATTTACCATTTGCCATTTTTGGAGACATTTCCTTTGGGTGTTCAACTGTTCTACAGGAAGAACTGCAGAACCCCCGCGATCCGCGGCGCTTGCAGCTTCGAGACGATGGACGAAATTGTCATCTGCATCTGCCCGAGAGGACTGGGCTCCCCACAGTGGCGATGGCAAGAACTGCTTTGAGACAAGGAGAAAGTTTCGTGGTTAGGGTTTTGCAGAGGCTCGGTAGCACGACTACAGTCAAGGGTCAAAGCCGTAGCGATTCTTTGCTTTGAGTCCATACCATTGGGCGAAGCTCTTTAGGGGGGTCGTAGCGATTGTGGCTGTGCCTATGAGATGTGCAGTGATTTGTTGAGTCGGTTTATAGGCTCTTGTGGGTCAAACCCATGTATGAACCCGTTGGGTTCTTGGATGACCATATTATAATATATTATATATTATTTGGTGAGGTTGTTCTCGACTGTACATAAGATTTTTTGAAGATTCGGGCGGTTGGGTTTCTAGGGTTCACACTTCTGTTCGCTGTTGGCTGTGTGTTTGGAGGTATTGGGATCTCCGGAGATTTCAGTCTGGATACCCTCTGGTTATGTCAACATAGCTATTGAAAATGGCCATAGAAATAGTGAGTTTTCCCATTAAAAATGGTGGATCTTTCCATAGTTAATTATGTTAGTTTACCAGAAGGTAAGGCACTGTCGTATACGGCTGATACGGTCAGAAAGGAATCGCCTGTGAAAGATGCCATCATTGTTTTGCCGGATCTATCTGAGTCAAAAGTCATGAAAAAAAGTGTTTCCTGCTGCCAGGATTATTTCTGGTTGGTGCTTTGGAACATTTTTTTTCCATATATTGGGAATAATCATCCCAAGTGACGAGCATATTTTTCAGAGGGATTGAAACCACCAACCAGATTTCATTTAAGATACCTGATTCTTTGGACAATTTGAGACAACCGCGGATGATTTCCATGGATCATATGGATCATTTCGACCGCTGCCCAAGGTTTGGGAATTCAGGTCGCATTGGAGTGGGCGTGTTGCCGCCAGTCCGCCGTAACCAGGCATCCTTTGCATGTCTGCCAGGGGAAGTCTCTCAGAGTGTGGCTGGGTTGATCAAGCTTTTTTCACTCCCCAAATTCCGAACTCGCAGATTTTTGTCCATTTCAGTTCACAAGGTACTCATTTGATCAAGTTTGACTCATACCCAATGCCAACCCTTGCGGCTGGAGACATTTACAATTGCAGGCTGAGGGAACGCCCGTCAATTGTTTGCCCTATCACAACGTAGTGATGAAGGGTAGCAACTCCCATGCAATCAGATTTCCATTTGGGGTTGATCGCTAAGGTCGGCTTGGACCTGAAGAGACTTGAGATTCTGCGATCCCCTTGTGATGAACAGGATCGAAAAAATGATGGACGTTGCAACAGGGATGACTTTGACACGGTGATTGCTGGATACTTTGAGGGCCAAAGGCGTGGCTGGGATGAACGGGACCAAGACATGCCATCCTTTGAGGGCCGAAGGCGTGGCTGGGATGAGCAGGACCAAGACGTGCCATCCTTTGAGGGCCGAAGGCGTGGCTGGGATGAGCAGGACCAAGACGTGCCATCCTTTGAGGGCCGAAGGCGTGGCTGGGATGAACGGGATCGAGACATGCCATCCTTTGAGGGCAGAAGGCGTGGCTGGGATGAACGGGACCAAGACATGCCATCCTTTGAGGGCCGAAGGCGTGGCTGGGATGAACGGGATCGAGACATGCCATCCTTTGAGGGCAGAAGGCGTGGCTGGGATGAACGGGACCAAGACATGCCATCCTTTGAGGGCCGAAGGCGTGGCTGGGATGAGCGGGACCAAGATATGCCATCCTTTGAGGGCAGAAGGCGTGGCTGGGATGAACGGGATCGAGACATGCCATCCTTTGAGGGCAGAAGGCGTGGCTGGGATGAACGGGACCAAGACATGCCATCCTTTGAGGGCCGAAGGCGTGGCTGGGATGAACGGGATCGAGACATGCCTCGAAGTCGCGACAGGGATGAAATTGACCCAGTGATTGCTGGATCCTTTGAGAGCCGAAGGCGTGGCTGGGATGAACAGGACCAAGACATGCCTAGAAGTCGCGACAGGGATGACATTGACCCAGTGATTGCTGGATCCTTTGAGGGCCGAAGGCGTGGCCGGGATGAACGGGATCAAGTTATGCCTTCAGGTCATGGCAAGGTTGAAATGGAGGTTGTGATCACACGATCACGTGATGGTTGCAGCTTGATTTTCGAGGGCAGAGACTTTGGAAGCTTGGATTCTGAGAAGATTTAGTCAAATCAACAACTGTAGACACCAAGAGGACATGTCATACCAGTAGTACCGCACAAGGCGGTGGCGGAAGTTTCAAAAATAGGAAACCTATAGGAGACGTTGGTTGTTGTGAATCAGGGATGGCAGAGCGAAGCCACTGATTGACCGAAAGGTGGTTGGAGTTGTGTTTGCTGGAGTGGTTGCAACGGTTGCAGTGGTCACCTCTTCCTCACCTGCTGGATGTAGTGTGATGTACTGCAACTGTAGTTGTAGTTGTAGCGTAGTGGGGTTGTAGTTGCGGTGTAATGTAATTAGTGTAGTGTAGTTGCAGTCATATAGTTGTAGCTGTAGTTGTTTTGTAGTTGTCGTAGTTGTAGTTGTAGTTGTAGTTGTTGTTGTTGTTGTAGTTGTAGCTGTAGTTGTTGTGTGGTTGTAGTTGTTGTGTAGTGTAGTTGTAGTAGTAGTAGTTGTTGTAGTTGTAGTTGTTCTGGTTGTTGTTGTTGTTGTTGCTGTTGTTGTTGTTGTTGTTGCTGTTGTTGTTGTTGTTGCTGTTGTTGTTGTTGTTGTTGCTGTTGTTGTTGTAGTTGTAGTTGTTGTAGTTGTAGTTCTAGTTGTAGTTGTTGTGTAGTTGTTGTAGTTGTAGCTGTTGTAGTTGTAGTTGTTGTGGTTGTGGTTGTTGTTGTTGTTGTCGTCGTCGAAGTTAGGGTAGTTAAGTTAGTATAGTTAGTGAAGTTAGTTAAGTTAGTCAAGTTAGTTAAGTTAATCAGTGTCTACTTTTTCGACATCTTCACGTCAAAAAAGGCTCAGAACCCTCAGTTTTTTACACTTTTGACTTCGAAATGTGCTTCGCGCCACAACGGCGTGCACTTTTTCGACACTTTTTCGACATCTGAACCTCCAAAAGTGGTCCGAGACCGTCATTTTTTAACACTTTTGACTTGGAAATGTGCTTCGCGCCACAACGGCGTGCACTTTTTCGACATCTCAACTTCCAAAAGTGGTCCGACGCTGAGGGGTTTTGTACATTTTGACTTGGAAATGTGCTTCGCGCCACAACGGCGTGCACTTTTTCGACATCTCAACTTCCAAAAGTGGTCCGAACCTGGTGTGTTTTGTACATTTTGACTTGGAAATTTGCTTCGCGCCACAACGGCGTGCGCTTTTTCAACATCTCAACTTCCAAAAGTGGTCCGACGCTGGTGTGTTTTCTACATTTTGACTTGCAAATGTGCTTCGCGCCACAACGGCGTGCACTTTTTCATCTCTCATCTGGCCAGCTGGCTCCGCACCCGCCGCTTTAGCGAGCCTACTTTTCCACCCTCCGGAGCCCCAAATCATTGGAAAAACACAGTGTTTCGCGACTTTCCTACCTTTTCGCGCATCTGCGTCTTCTTTCTTCTGACTCTTTCTCTTCTGACTCTTCTCACCTCTGCTTTTCAACTGTCCATATTGTCGGAAGTTTCACTTCTAAACTTCCTTCGATTAATATTGCAGTTTGTATTCATTTGCTCCAGGTCAAAAACGAAGCACCTGGGAACCAGAGATGTAAGTCAACGTAAGTCATCATCTTGGTGGGCAACCATCTCATGCTTGGGTCCTGGGTAACCCCTGAGCCTGGCGCAACGAGGAAAGAAAACCGCTGCTCTTCCAGGAGGTTCTGATTCTAAGGTGTTCCCTGCTGTATCCATTTGGTCATCTGGTGCTCACGTCATTTGCGAGGATTTGGAGGATATGGTCCCAGTGGCTCCTGACAAACCCTGGTTGGTGTTATGCGATGTGACCTTTGGGCGAAGAGACGAGGCTGTTGCAGACCCCTATGGCAATACGCCCTTCCATGGCTGCGCTTATCAAGGGAACTTGCGCTCCTTGGAAGTCCTCTTGAGACATGTGCAGAAGCACCCGCAGGCCAACTTGAAGCAGGCAGTCAGCCATCCAACCCAAGGGCCCAAGGAGGCACGTCCGCTGGCGATGTGAGAGAAAGGGGAAACATATGGTGTGCCATGGGCAGGGTATTCACTAGACAGAAATTTCTTGGATGATTATAGATTCCTAGATATAACATGATATAACCTATGCATACTCAGTAGAAACTCCAGGTCAAGAGGGGAACGTTGATAGCCCCACTCCTTTCACAGCGAACAGTGGCCATCAAGTTTTTTCGTGAGGCCAATTCCGGGCCTACCCCGCTGGAAATGGCCAGAGGGAGGAACAACCGGCAGTGCGTTGCCCTCTTGGAGAAGTTCTTGAGCGCTGGTGGCACTCTAACACCGTCTGCCATGAGCGTTGAAGGTGAGGCCCAAGATATTCCAAGACGAAGTGCAGTAGTATGTGGTCACGAATTATAACACCCTTCCAGCCTAGATATTTGGCGATCTCTTATGTACATCTCAACTTTTAGGGTCCAAAATCTGCAGGTGAGAAATGCTCGGATTCCAATGCTAACGCTCCGAAACTGGTCCTGACTTCAGACGCATCCACAGCTGTGCTAATGGAGAAGAACTTCTCAGAGGGATTCAGATGGACTGGAGCCCTCGAGGAGCGGTGGTGGTGCACCAGTTCGTGAGCTAAGGTCATTTAGAATTAATAAGATTAAGATTAGTGAAACAACTAAAAATGGGTGATTTTCAGGGCTGATGTTTATTTACTGGATGGTACATACGTAGTATCGAATACTAATTCAATGATACTGCAATAAACATCTCATCATCTATAGACATCGCCGTTTGGAGGTTTCCGACAATAGAGGTACCCCAAATCATCCAAGTTATGGATGACCATGACTGAGTATTGAAACCCACGGCTTTGGGATACAGTACCCCCCAGTTTAGGAAACCCCGCTGTGAGGATAGATGACGGTACATGATCTATCTGGTTTATAGTTTCTATTCCGGGTCAATTACTCGTTCTAGTGTACTGAAAAGGAAAGATCATTCCAGGTTTTCTCAGTTCCATTGCGCTAACATAGAAATACAACATTAGAGAGGAACATGATGATATCCACTTGACCAAGAAGTTTGGGGTGACGTTACACCGTCAACCAGATTGTTTCATGAACCCTGGCATAAATATAATGGGCTGCCTTTGGCCCATGGCATGGTGCAAGCCCCAGACAACTAAATCATCAGCGCAAAAGAATAGGAGCAGCTTGTGCAGTGCATGAGGAAGGCTGGAATTGGCACATGCAGGCTGGTCTTGAGTGGTTTGCAGATCACAACAGTTTCTTGACTTAGTCCTGGCTGCTGCGGGGTATCATTGATCGACCTTTGGGAGGAGACTAATCGCAGCGGCTGCGGCAGGATTGGAGTATATTGGAGGATTATGAACCCACGTATTAGACATGTATTAATTTATGAGTCATTGCTGATGACTTTGGAGTCAACATATTTTTGGGCACATGGCTCCGGGGAATGCACTACCATTCCGGGGTATTTCGCACATCTTCCCCAATCCCCAAGCCAACTGCTGAACACCACCTTGGCACCTTGGGAATTACGACTCTAACAGATAAACAACTCCGGTGATGTTAGAATCCTCAAGTTATGTGACATTTGCCACCCTAGGAAAAACGACAACTGGAACATCCTGTATGACAAAATTTAATGTATATACCATGTGTATATATATATATACCATGTACATAGATATATATATATATATATACACACCGTATATATATATACACCATGTATACATATATATACATACGCCATGTACATGTATAT